AAACACGATACCCTCATCATTGGCGCTTTCGTTGAAAGTATCCAATCGTGTTTCTAGCTTGTTTATCTTTTTCTTTTTTTCGGATTTCCCTCTGCCTTGGGATCGAATTTTTCTTTTTTGGCTCGAATTTTTTCTTCTTTTTCTCTTCTTTTCGAGAGTTGAGGGAGTAAAAAAAAATCTTAAAAGTCTTGTTCGATTTATTTCGAGAGTATAAAAAAAAATGTTTTCAAACCGTGAGAGAATCGAGTCATTGGAGGAGAGCATGAAGACTATTGGTGATGGCCAATATATGACGAATGAGAATTTGGCGAAGATCGAGTTCATGGTGCACGACCTTGCCGGGCAACTCACACGCATCACACACCGGCCAAGAACGAGCCATGAGGCGAGGTCCACCACGGCGTCGAGCAGCCCCAGGACCGAGCACGAGGATGACAACCGGTGATCACGGCGGATGCGCGCATCGCGCGCGACACACCACCGCGATGAGCGGCGCCACCACGAAGAGCGGGCTTACGCACGACCGAAGCTCAACATGCCCACGTTCACGGGAGTCGATCCGGATGCGTGGCTTAGGCGACCCATGCAATTTTTTGAGATCAACGAGGTGCCAAGGAACGAGAGAGTATAGCTTTCTGCCTATCATCTTGAAGGAGAAGTGTTTATTGTGTTTTTGTGCTTCTTTTTGTATGTTTTATGTGTTTTAGTTTAGTGTTTTTAGGTTTGTTTTAGTGTCAACGGGTCCATTTTATCGTGTTTCGTGCATTTTTATTTTCGTATTGTGTTTTTGTGGTTCAGCGTACTATTCTTGTCTTTTTGGTGTTGTTTAGGTCCACAGTATTCGATCTTGGGAAGACGAGCCATTTCTGAGACATTTTCGAGTCGTCCGAACCATGTTCGAGCCACAAGAGCCATTTTTGAGCCATTCCGGGCATATTATTAATTGCATGGTGATATCCATTTGCGCATCTCAAGACGAGGAGAACGAGATTTAGAAAGCGTGAGTCGAAGTTTCAAGTCAATCGGATAAGTGTGCGAGAAGTTAGGGCAAACCGAGCATCAAGGGGTCATCCGACCACTTCCAGCGCCTACGAATCGCATTCCGCGCCCGCGAATTCGTGCTATCCCGCGAGTCCGCCTAGCGCTGCCCGCGAGTCCTAGTTCGCGCCCGCGAAGAGGGCCTAACCCGCGAGTTTTCAGCCCTACCGCACAGCCAAGCCGCGAGTTTGCATGCTCGCGCCCGCGAAACGCCTGTAGCCCGCGAGTTCCCGCACCACACTGCCTATTCCGCGACCTCGAGGCCTATTCTGCGAGCTCGAGAGTGTACCCAGCGCATGCCCGCGACCTCGAGGCCTATTCCGCGAGCTCGAGAGTGCCTTTCCCAGCGCGCTCGCGTGCGCGAGATGTCCGCGACCTCGCGAGTTTCGCCCCCTGCGCCCACGCCCGCGTGCGCCCCGTACTGCCAATGCCCTGCCAACTCGCGACCTCGCAGAATTTAAGAAGACCTCGCGAGTATTTTACTAAATGTGCATGTTTTTAGTGTGTGTTTGTGGTGTAGCTATATAAAGACATTGTGCTTTGTATTTTTGGAGATAACCCTCATTTCCAAACTTTTAAGTTGGAAAATCCTCTCCCTTTATTTTTTTTTTATTTTTTTATGCTTTGGTTGGAAACTCATGACTCGATTTTTTCGGTGAAATTCTGGCAACTTTATTTTCGATCAAGATTCGAGTTTTACGCACTATTTTCGTCTACGCATGCGATAGGAGGGTGAGTACCTTGCTTAGGGCTAATTACTTCGAGTTTGTTTTTCGATTTTGTGTTGATGCTCGATTCTAGGTTTTCGCTCTATTTTCATTGCTTGCTTTGGTGTGTTAGGATTCGATATGTGCTTATCTAGAAAGATTTCGGCTTTGCTCAAAGCGTAATGATTTAGTGTAGAAAGCTCGTGTTAGAAGACCTAGGATCGCTATGCTCCAATGATTTCTCTTGTTATTTTTCTTTTTCTTGAGTCATGGGGATTCCGGTTGACCAAAGTTTCGATCTTTTTCTCTATATTTGCATTTTCATCATTCGCTCTTAGATTCGTAGTTCAAGTGCGTGCAATCATCCCCCAATCAAGCGAGTAGCATGTTTAGGACCTTGTTTTCGGTTATGTGACTTTGACGACTAGATAGTGAACGAAGCTCCGAAGAGCCTTCCTTTGAGAACGACCTGAGTCGGGTAACTCGGTTACCACATGCCCAAAAATATTACAAACAAAATGGCGCCGTTGCCGGGGAAGGCAAGTAGGACTCCAAGTTTACTATCTAGTTGTCGTTTGTTTCCGTGTTTCTCTTCCTTTTTGTGCTATTTGCTTGTTTTTCGTATTTCTCTTGATTATTTGCTTATTTTTGTTTTCTCTTGCTTCGCTATGTGTGTTCTTGTACTTATTATGTCATTTTAGCTTCGTTATTACTTTTCTATCTCTCTTGCCTCGTGTGCCTTGGGTTGTTTTCTTGTTCTTGTGCGAGGTATTACGCTTGAGGAGCTCCGATGGACCCGTACGGCTATTCTTATGCTGGTAGCTCATCTCGTGGATACCCCGACAACTACCATGAAGAGATATACTCGTATGGAGGGCCGCCCTATCCGTATCCGAGCCCTTCTTACTCGCCATCTCAAGTTGATTCGGTTATTACTCTCCGGGTCACGACGAGGTGGCTCACTACTATCCACCGCCTCCTGTTTATTATGAAGAGACATCTCCACCCGAGCCGACTCGAGAATCTTCTCGAGTCAATCTAGCCGAGATTATGGAGCATTTAGAGGAGTGCAATCGATCCCTTCGTGCTTCAATGGCTCCCACATCCAGAAACATAGAAACCGAGTCCCATGTTCCATCTTTTCCATCATTTGAGCACCTATCGGTTGGCCAACCTTGTACACCGAGGACCTAAGTTTCAATTCCATCAACGGTTGTGCCTTCCGAACGTCACCGAGAGGTTTTGGCGAGCACTCAAGAGGCACTTGCGAGCCTCGCGTCAATCATTGAGGAGTTTTATAGTTGAAGATGGATTCCGATTCCATCCGTTCTTCAAGCTACACTTGAGAAGTTTGACTCTATCGTGGTATCCTTTCTCAACTTGGATGCATTTTGCACATTCCGTTCAGTTAATATTGTTCTTTATCGGCGAGGGTTATTCGAGGGAGCACTCGGTTAGAAGGCGAGTTTCGTGGTGGATAGGTTTGCCTCCTTGAAAGAGATGGGCCTCACTCTCGTTTATGATGGAACACAATCTCTCGACACGAGTGAGGACATCGATGATTTGATTGTTAAAGAAATTCCCTCTTTTGACGATTCGGTCGTGCATTTTACATTAGGTACGTCAAATTTCTCTTCTGTTGATAGTGATTTGAGCTTTGATTCTATTGTTGAGGGTGGGTGTATGGATTCGGGTGTTGATATTGTGTATGGGATGGGAGAGAATTCATTTGAGGATTCGATTGTGTCGAACGGTGTTGATAGTGCTCGGGAGGATGATATTGAGGAGGAGAATATGGTAGTTGAAGATTTTGTGGATGTTGTTGAGGAGGATTCCGAGCTATTATGTGATGTCGTTGACCCGAGGTGTGCGTTGATTGATGAGTCGACTTGTGATGTTGAGAATGACGTGGTTCCTATGTCCTTTGGGTCGTCGTTTCGTATTATTGAGGATCGTGACCATTTGGAGGAGTTTAGTGTGCCTACGCCCGTGCTCCCGATGCTTGAGCTTGATGAGTACACGTTCGAGATAGTGCAAACGATGCTCGGGATTGATTCGACGTGCTCCACGGATATTTTTATATTTTTGGAGGTCGAGTGTGGGGCCTTGGTTCGTAAAGATTCATCTCTCTTATTGGTTGTTGTTGATATCCGTGCTCGGTTTCACAAAAACGCAGCCACGAGAGCCTACCTTGCCCGCCTTTGTTCCGTTCTATCGTCGGGACTTCTCTTGGAAAATACAAAGGCGCATGATCGACATTTTTTCTTGGATCCCCGTTGATTTTCGTTGGGGACGTCGAGCTCAAGATGCAAATTGAGCGCTTCGTGGGAGGCAACCCACGGTTCATGCTTTTTCTCGTTTTTTTTTTTCGCTTTTATTGAGAATAAATAGCTCCACGAGCCGCACGACGCGCATGATTTTCGAGGGTGAAAGCGAGTTTCTAGGTCGAGATTTGATTGAAAATTTGGTGAGGTGTTGAAAATTTGAACTAAGTATGGAAATTATTGAGAAGTGCCCGTGCCGACCCGCTCGGAGGTACTGACCTGTTAGTGCCGGGCCAAAATTTTTATCGAGAAGGTTCTGGGTGGTGTAGATGAGATTTGGGTGAAATCGGGTCGAAAATCGGTCAAAAATGCTCAAAATATGTCTAAGTATGGAGAAAATAGCCCCAGGCCCACACTGGCCCGGCAGCCCGCACAGCGCGTGCACGCGAGCGCCCTCGCAGCCAGAACCGCGCCCGCGCCAGCACGACCTGATGAGAACACGGCAAGGAGATTGAAGAATGCTGCGAGCCGCGCTTATCATGCACGACGAAGGTTAAGCCGACGGGTTGCCCAGGCCCAACTCGTTAATGGGGATGCGCGCACGGACGATGACGCGCGCGAGAATCTCGGCCAAGGGTGCAATAGCGCGGGTACGGACGAGGGGGTTCACGTGCAAGCAGGCCTAACCACGCAAGGAGTAGGCGAGGCGGGCGCGCGAGGGCAGCACGCGCGCAATGGCGGCTTGAATCGCAAGCAAGAGATATTCTAGATATTTATTTCCTTGTTTTCTAGTTTGTTTAGGACTCCTATTATTTTATTGCTTTATTAGAGTTATAGTTATATTAGGACTAGATCTAGTTGATGCCTATAAAAAGGCCGTTCCTTGTTATTTTTCGGCATTCAGAAATCAATACAAAATCCGAACTTTTGTTCAAACACTTTGCTCTGGTTTTCTTTCTTGAATTCTTTTGCAAGTTCATTCGTTAGAAAGGCTGCGAGTGTGCGACTTCCTAACACCTATCGAGCGATTTAAGGCGCGGGAGCGGCTTGTCGACAATCGAGACACACGATCTTCATCACGACCGCGGCCTCGCGCAGCACGCCGCGCGCTCACGGCGCCCAGAGCTCCCAGCCCCAGCAGCGCCCCTTCCGCGCAGCGGAAACCTGATGCGGAAGTGGCTAGGCAGCTCAAGAACGCCGCACGTCGCGCTTACCATACACGCAAAAGGTTAGCGCGAGAGACAGCAAAAGTGCGCGCGGGGCAAGCGAAAATGGCCAAGTAACGGGCGTAGACGCGCGCACGCGAAAGTCGTGCGAGACGGGTGAGCAGGCGTTAACGGGCGAGGGCGTGCGGTACGCGCAGGCAACGGGCCTGACTAGCGGACGAGCAGTGTGCGGTCACGCGGGCGAGGGAGCAACAACCAGCGAAGGCGCGCGGGGCGCACGAGGCATGCAAGCACGCGCGAGACGCGAAGCCTCAATCCTAGAGGAGTGCAGAGTGGCAGACGACCACGCGCCTAAGGTCGACGCAGGAGGAAATGGCGTGTGCGGCACGCCGAGCACCACGCACGCGCGCGATGAGGCGGCAGGTAGGGGAGGTGTGCGCGACACGCCGAATGGACACGCACACGCAGAAAAAGGCGGTGCCCTAGTCCTCAAGGACTAGGGCGTGCGAGGCGGTGCACAAGAGCGGCGGGTGAGAGGCGGTCGTGCAAGACAAAAGAGAGAGAGGTTCCTTGGAGTGCAAGCCAAGCTAGTAGTTTCCATCTTGCATTATGAGATCTAGATTAATTAGGCTACTTAATATTTTATTACTTTATTTGTTCCCTAGGTAGATTAGGACTAGATATAATTGGTGCCTATATGAAGGCCATTCCCCATGTTATTTTTCATCATTCAGTTTATCAATAAAAATCCGATCTTCTGTTCTTCTAGATTTCTATTGCAATTTTATTCGCTTCAATAGGCGCGGATGTGGATAGAGAAACACCTATCGGCGATTCAAGGTGTGGGTTAGCGGCTTATCGGTAATCAAAACACACGATCTTCATCATTGGTGCTTTCATTGAGAGGTGTTAGATCGTGTGTTTTTCTTCTACCCCATTCCCTTTCTTTTTCTTCCCTTTATTTTCATTCGACTTATTCAAAAAAAAAAAAATTCTTCCAACACGAGTCTGCAAAGCAAAGAGCGAAGAGAGGAAAAGAAAGCCATGGCCAACAAAGAGATGAAGGATAAAATCGATAATCTCGATATCCAATTCCGTGGTATGAGCGAAGCCATCGACACGTTAGGAGAAGGGCTCGATAATACAAAGACAACGGTACAAGATCTGATGGAAACTGTGAATAGGCGCTTCGACGAGATGACACGCAATGTACTCGCACGATTGCCACCTCCACGGCAACAAGACCATGCGCGGCACCACGACCGCGAGCGGCCCGAAGGAGAGGATCGACGGCGTGAAGAATACAAGCGCGAGGATGACTACGAGCGGCAGTCACAGGCGTCCAACTACCGTGAGCGTCGGAAGGTCGACAAGCCCCGCATCACGTTATCCACCTTCACGGGCAGCGATCCAGACGCATGGCTCAATCGGGCAATGCAATATTTTGAGCTCAACGAGATGGACGGCCCAGACCGTGTAAGGTACGAAGCCTATTATCTTGATGGTGAGGCCAACGTATGGTGGCAATGGCTCACGAAGATCTACCACAAGCGACAGCAGGCCATCACATGGGCCGACTTTGAGAGGGAGTTGCTCACGCGCATTGGCACATTAGATTACCATAACTACAACGAGGCTCTCGCACGAATACGCCAGACAGGTAACTTGCGTGAGTACATCAAGGAGTTCGAACGGCTGGCATGCCGCGTTCGCGATTGGCCGGAGGATGCACTGGTGGGAGCTTTCGTAGGTGGACTAAAGTTTGATCTAGCCGCAGAAGTACGTCTTGAATGGCCAGACACGATGCACGCAGCCATGGAGGTAGCCCGACGGCGCGAGGATCATCTAGTAGTCACGCGAACGGGACGGGCGGATGTTCGTTTCACGGACACACGGCGCACGGGCCCGGGCCAAGCTATGGCAGGTGCGCGGCCAAATGTCAGCACTCGGTCGGCAGGGCCAGTAGTTAGGCGGCTGTCCCCGGAGGAAGTCAAGCGCCAACGAGAGAAGGGCCTATGCTTCAAATGCGAAGAAAAATTTACACCAGGCCATCAATGTAAGCAAGATTTTGTGATTGAAGTTGCTAATTCTGATGAGGAAGAATCTGAGGTCGAGGAAGAACCACATCAGGAGGATGAGGTTGAAGTGCCCGAAGAAGAAGCAGAAATTTCGATGCACGCAATGGCAGAGATTAGAGGGCCAAGGACGATGCGGTTGCCAGCTTGGGTCAAGGATCGTAGGGTGATTGTGCTCGTAGACAACGGGTCATCACACAACTTCATTAATGTTGACTTGTCCCAGAAGTTGAAGCTGCTAACTACGAAGATTGAGCCTTTTGAAGTTTGAGTAGCTAATGGTGAGAGGCTGCAATGCACTGAGTCATTTTGGAAGGTGTCGATCAAGTTCCAAGGAGTTACGGTAAAGGCTGATCTCTATGCTTTACCACTAGTTGGACCTGACGTCGTTCTTGGAGTACAATGGCTCGAAAGATTAGGCAAGGTCACCACCGACTACCGAGCTGGAATTATGGAGTTCAAGTCTGGAGGTCGACAAGTCACTTTGAGTACATGCACTGAGAAAGGTACGAAAGAAGTTGGGTAGAAGAGTATTGAAAGAGTTTGGCGAAGTGGCGGCCAAATATTCGCAGTAGTGGTCGAAAGTAAGGAGCCGCGCATGGAAGAGGTTGAACAACAGCAGGGCGATGTGCGCAAGCTTCTCGAGGAATTCGAAGGAGTGCTGGGTGAACTTGAGGGACTACCACCTCACCAGGAGTTCGACCACCAAATACCACTGATCAACGAGCAGCACGCTGTGCACATCCATCCCTATAGGTACGCTCACTTCCAGAAAACTGAGATTGAAAGGCAAGTAGCTGAGATGCTCGAATCTGGGTTAATTCAGCATAGCACGAGTCCGTTTTCTTCACCAGTACTGTTAGCTAAAAATAAAGATGGCACGTGGAGGTTTTGTACTGACTACCGAGATCTGAATGCCGCGACTATCAAGGACCGATTTCCTATCCCTAGTGTCGATGACATGCTCGATGAATTGGCTGGATCACGTTACTTCTCGAAGCTCAACCTGAGAGCTGGCTACCATCAGATTCGACTCCACAAGGCCGACATACCGAAGACAGCCTTTCGTACGCATCAAGGGCACTATGAGTATTTGATGATGCCATTCGGGCTGTGCAACGCCCCATCCACTTTCCAGTTCGCTATGAATCCCATTTTCAAGGAGCATCTACGTAAGTTTGTTCTAGTCTTCTTTGATGATATATTGGTATACTAGAAGTCATGGGCTGAACATCTGGAGCATTTGAGAGTGGTGCTCAAAGTCTTGGAGGCTAACTCGTTTCACATCAAGCCATTTAAGTGTTCGTTTGGGCAAGAGATGGTTGAGTACCTAGGCCATTTTATATCTCATAATGGCGTGACAGTTGATCCACGAAAGATAGAGGCTATGGTCGACTGGCCCAAGCCAACGAGTTTCACACAACTCCGAGGATTTTTAGGACTCACGGGTTATTACCGGAAGTTTGTGAAGGATTATGGAACCATTGCTAAGCCACTTAAGGAGATGACCAAGAAAGGAGGGTTCACATGGCCAAGGCCAGCGAGGAGGTGTTTGAGAAACTGAAGGGCGCCATGACTACAACGCCAGTGCTCGCAATGCCTAGGTTTGATGTCTTGTTTGAAGTACACACGAATGCTAGTGATATTGGGATTGGAGCCGTACTAGTGCAAGAAAGGCGACCCTTAGCTTACCTCAGCAAGGCGCTAGGCACGACTCGATTGGGTTTATCAGTATATGTAAAGGAGATGCTAGCAGTTGTCGAAGCTGTGAGATGCTGGAGGCCCTATCTGCTGGGGCGACATTTTCGGATTGTGACCGACCAGCAACCACTCAAGCATCTACTCGAGCGAAGGATTGTTACTTCCAAGCATCAAAAGTTTGTCTCGAAGCTTATGGGGTTCGACTTTGAGATAGCCTACCGGCCAGGTCGATAGAATGTTGTAGCTGATGCCTTATCTCGCCGGACAGATGTAGCTGAGCTTGATGCTATCACTGGACTTACGTGGACCATCTGGGAGGAAGTTCGTAAGGCGCAAGAAGAGGATACTTATTACAAAGAAGTGCGCCAGAAGATCGAGGCAGGAGAAACCATTGCTGATTATGAGCTGCACAACAACCTACTACTACATCGAGGCCGACTGTTCGTTCCTGACAGCGGACAGCTACGCGAGAAGATCATGCAGCACTTCCACGATTCTAAGGTTAGAGGTCACTTGGGTATCTACCGCACATGGATGAGGATAGCCAATACCTTCTTTTGGCCGGGACAGCAAGGCACGGTTCGGGACTACATGGCAAAGTGCAACGACTGTCAGCGCACTAAGGCTGATTCACGCCGACCAAGCGGGCTGCTGCAACCACTACCGGTACCCGATGCAATCTGGGAAAACATCACCATGGATTTCATTGAAGAATATTACGGAAATGCAGAGTATTGAGGTAAGGGTCATGGGAGATGATGAAAAGGTGAAAGCTTGGGAATTAGGGATCGGGTTTTCAGAAAAAGAGATTGAAATCCCTAATTCGAAAGGGGGCATCGATTCAGTAGAAGGAGAAGATGACGCGTCAGTTGCCATCGGGCCATTTCAGAAGATGGGCCGCGAAGATGATCCACCGGGAGATGGGCCCATGATGAGCGTGCACGATTAACAGATGGACCAAGTTACTAAAGGCCCAATTTGGGTTTGAAGATGTTGAAGCCCATTATCCATTTATCTTTATATTTACCTTTAAACTTATTTACCTTTTTCTTTTAGTAATTATCTGGTTGAGTGTAATTCCCATGTGCGGGACTATATATTGGAACGAGCATGTGCTATGAACTTTCAAGCAGTTACAACAAAAATATTCTCTTTCTCTCTCTTCTCTATTCCTCTCCCCTTTCATTTTCTCTCTCTAAAATTCCTCCATTTCTGCTACTCTCAAGCTTATTACAAAAATCACAAAAATACAAAAAAAATCATAAAAATTACAAAAAAACAAGGGTTCTTTACAATTTGGTATCCAGAGCCACCTTTCCTTGGCCATGGCTGAAGCAACAAGAATGAAGGACCTGCAGGAGGCTCAAAGAAGAATCGATCAGGTGCTACAAACAGAGTCTCTGAAAAGGGAAGCCACCGAGATGAAGTTACAGGAGCAAATTTCAGGAATCAGCACAGAGATGCAGGGATTAAATGGTAAATATGATAACCTAGCAGATACCTTGGCATCCATACAACTACAGCTGCTAAACATGTCAAAAGGTAATGGAAGCCGCGAGGAATAATCAATTCTGGGGGATCCCTGGACAAACAACACAAACCCCAGAGGTCAAAATTCACAAAGGCCAAGGTACCTAACAGAGCAAAACCCAACTCAAATAATTCATCCTGCTCCTAAGGTAGAATTCTCCAGGTTTGATGGGAATCAGCCCAGATCATGGATCCTAAAATGCAACAGCTACTTCAAGCTTGTTCCTAACATCCCTGACCAACAGAAGGTAATCCTAGCATCTATGCACCTGGAGGGAAAGGCTGCACTATGGTATCAGAATTTCAGCTCTCAACCCTTGAATTTGACCTGGGATCAGTTCATTGATGTGATATCAGCTAGGTTTGAGGAACTGAGGGAAACCAAGATCATATCAGAGTTCAACAAGCTAAGGTTAAAGGGATCCTATGAGGAGTATGTTGAAAAATTTGAAGAACTAAATGCTTGTATGCAGATTTTGGGAAAATACTCTGAAGAGTACTTTATAGCCAGCTTCATCAGTTGGCTAGCGGAAGAATTACAGGCTTTCATTCACATATTTGAACCCTCATCCCTGTTACAGACCATTGAGTTGGGGAGACAACAACTTCTCACACTGGAGGCTATTACTAGGAAGGTCAGAAATCAATCAAGACCACCTGTCTCATCATATCCACAAAACCAAAGAAAATTTGAAAACCAAAATCAGAAGAGTACTCCTGCTGCCACCCCAAGGACAACTACCAAGTTACTATCCTCCTCTGAAATGGCAGAAAGAAGAGAGAAAGGTTTATGTTATAATTGTGATGAGAAATTCACATTTGGGCACAGATGTAAGAACAGGATTAACTATATGATAATGACTGAGGAAGAGGAATTAGCCTATCTTAAGGTGTGTGAGGAAGAATCACTCTCTGAGGTGGATCCTGACATGGAGGAGGTACAAATGTCTCTCAACTCTTTATCAGGAGAGGATGGGGTGACTACTATGAGGCTATTTGGTCAGGTTGGTAAACACAAACTCCACATATTGATTGACTCAGGGAGTACCTTAAGCTTCATTCAAGAAAAAACAGCTCACAAACTAGGGTGCAAGTTGGACAAGGTCAAACCACTGCTAGTCAATGTTGCAAATGGACAAAGGCTAGTAAGCAATCATGTAGCCACAGAATTCACTTGGGACATGCAGGGAAACAAGTTTACCTATCCTTTAAGAGTGCTAAAAAATGAGGGATGTGATCTCATATTGGGAGGTGACTGGCTCAAATCCTGCACACCTATTGAGCTGGACTATGAAGACATGACATTCACAGTTACCTTACAGGGGAAGAAAGTGAGGTTGCAAGCCTTGACATCAAGCTCAGAGTGCCAGTTTATTTCTGGCCACTCACTCTACAAATTGATACACACCGAGTTATCCAGTCAGATTGAGGAGTTATATGTTATCACAACCCCAAAACCTGACCAAATTCATAATTCTCAGGTGGCTGAATTCCTAGAGAGATACCAAGACATCTACCCCCAGTCAGAGAAGTAGAACATCAAATCAACCTATTACCAGGGAGCACCTCAAAGCACCAGTACCCTTACAGGGTTTCCCATGACCAAAAGGCTGAGGTAGAAAAAATAATCAAGGAACTTTTAAACTCTGGGGTAATTCAGCCTAGCCAGAGCCCCTTTGCATCCCCAATTTTTCTAGTAAAAAAGAAGGATGAAGCCTGGAGACTCTGTGTAGATTACAGGTATTTGAATGGCTTAACTATTAAACATGAGTATCCAATACCTGTAATTGATGAGCTATTGGATGAGCTAAATGGGGCTGAGTTCTTTTCTAAAATAGATCTGAGGTCAGGTTACTTCCAAATCTTAATGAAGCCTGAGCATAGGTACCTGACAGCTTTCAACACACACCAGGGGCAATATGAATTTTTGGTGATGCCATTTGGGCTGTGCAATGCACCAGCCACTTTTCAATCCCTAATGAATAGGGTGTTTGGTGACTGTCTGAGGAAACATGTGTTGGTGTTCTTTGATGACATTTTGGTGTACAGCAAGAATTGGAGTGACCACCTTGACCATTTGGAACAGGTACTCATCCTATTAAGGAAGCACAAGTTGTATGCCAAGGAAAGCAAATGCAGTTTTGGGCAGACCCAAGTGGAGTACCTAGGTCACATTATCACAAAAGAAGGGGTCTCAACAGATCCCTCAAAGGTTGAGAGCATGGTCAAGTGGCCAATCCCTAAGACCCTAAAACAACTAAGGGGGTTTTTGGGATTGACAGGGTACTATAAGAAGTTTGTCAAGAACTATGGGTTGATCAGCAAACCACTGACCAACTTATTAAGGAAGGATGGCTTTAAGTGGAACCAAGAAGCTGAGGAAGCCTTTCACCATATCAAACAATCTATGTCCACTACCCCGGTGCTAGCTTTACCTGATTTTACATTACCCTTTGAGATTGAAACTGATGCAAGTGGAGTGGGGGTGGGTGCTGTACTAATGCAAATGGGCAGACCCATTGCCTATATGAGCAAGGCTTTGTGTGCAAGGAATTAGTGCCTATCTATTTATGAAAAGGAGTTCTTGGTTGTACTTATGGCCATTCAAAGGTGGAGGCATTACTTGCAAGGGCACAAGTTTATAATAAAGACAGATCAACAGGCACTTAAGCACTTGTTGGATCAGAAGGTTATGAACCCTGTGCAGCAAAAGTGGATCACAAAACTTTTGGGACTTGATTATGACATACACTATAAGAAGGGAAAGAAAAACAGAGCTGCAGATGCCTTATCTAGGGTGGAGTACTAAAATGGCTTGAATGTCATAACAACAGTGGTACCTAACTGGGCAAAAAGGGTTTCAGACAGCTATTTACAATATTCATGGTAGGTAGAGTGGCAATTGGAAATGATCAGAGACATCATCAAATATAAAGGGAGAGTGGCAATTGGAAATGATCAGTCACTGAGAAGACAGATACTAGAAGAAATGCACAGTTCACCTTATGGTGGGCATTCAGGTATACATGGGACCTACATGAGACTTAAGGGTGTTTTTTATTGGCCACACATGAAGGCTGATGTTATTTCTCTGGTGCAAAAATGTGATATATGCAAGAGGAACAAACCAAACTTGAGCCCTTACCCAGGGTTTCTTCAACCTCTACCCATACCAGAATATCCATGGTCCCACATAAGTATGGATTTTGTGGAGGGGTTACCTAAGTCCGGGGGTAAAAGTGTCATACTTGTTGTCATTGACAGACTCACAAAGTTTGGGCATTTCATTCCACTGACTCATCCCTACACAGCCCAAACTGTGGTTACTCTTTTCCTAGACCAAATCTATAAACTTCATGGGTTGCCACTCAGCATAGTGACAGACAGAGATAAAATATTTACCAGTCAATTTTGGGGGGAAATTTTCAAAATGTTTGGGGTAAAACTAAGTCTGTCCTCAGCCTACCATCCACAAACTGATGGACATACTGAGAGGTTGAATCAATGCATAGAGACTTACCTTAGGTGCATGACACAAGCCACCCCAAAGCAATGGGTCAAATGGTTGCCACTAGCGGAATATTGGTACAATACCAATTATCATTCAGCTCTAAAGACCACACCATTTCAAGCCCTATACGGGTACTCGCCCTCTATTTTCTCACTCAAACCCTACACCAAACCTCCCAACCCAGAGGCAAGCAAATACATACAAGACAGGAGGGAGATGATACAACAACTAAGGGAAAACCTCTCTCAGGCACAAAATCGCATGAGGGTATATGCAAACAAAGGCAGAACAGAGAGGGAATTTGAAGTAGGCGATGAGGTTTACTTCAATCTGCAACCTTTCAGGCAGAACTCCGTTCAACTCCGAAGAAACCTTAAACTCTCAGCCAGATATTATGGACCTTACAAAATATTGGAAAGAATTGGTCAAGTTGCTTACAAATTAGAGCTACTTGAGGGGTAACAGATACATCCCGTTTTCCATGTATCGTTATTAAAAGGGAAGGTCAAGGAAGGAGTCATACCTGCGAAAACATTGCCGGCGCAAACTTCTGAAGGAACCTTCAAGATCGCTCCTTTTGCTGCCGTTGATCAACGGGAAGTAAAACGCGGTAAGGAGATGGTACGCCAGATCCTTATACAGTGGGATGGCTCAGAGATGGTTCAACCAGTTTGGGAAGATGAGAAATTTATTCAGAAAAAATTTCCTGATTTCAACCCTTGGGGACAAGGGTTTGGTAAAGAAGGGGGAAATGTTACGGAAATGCAGAGTATTAAGGTAAGGGTCACGGGAGATGATGAAAATGTGAAAGCTTGGGAATTAGGGATCGGGTTTTCAGAAAAAGAGATTGAAATCCCTAATTCGAAAGGGGGCATCGATTCAGTAGAAGGAGAAGATGACGCGTCAGTTGCCATCGGGCCATTTCAGAAGATGGGCCGCGAAGATGATCCACCGGGAGATGGGCCCATGATGAGCGTGCACGATTAACAGATGGACCAAGTTACTAAAGGCCCAATTTGGGTTTGAAGATGTTGAAGCCCATTATCCATTTATCTTTATATTTACCTTTAAACTTATTTACCTTTTTCTTTTAGTAATTATCTGGTTGAGTGTAATTCCCATGTGCGGGACTATATATTGGAACGAGCATGTGCTATGAACTTTCAAGCAGTTACAACAAAAATATTCTCTTTCTCTCTCTTCTCTATTCTTCTCTCCTTTCATTTTCTCTCTCTAAAATTTCTCCATTTCTGCTACTCTCAAGCTTATTACAAAAATCACAAAAATACAAAAAAATCATAAAAATTACAAAAAAAACAAGGGTTCTTCACAAAGGACTGCCCAGTTCTAATGGGTTTAACGGAGTAATGGTCGTGGTAGATCGCCTTACCAAGTATGCTCATTTCATAACCATTACACATCCATACACAACCAAATCTATCGCCAGGTTGTTCGTCGAATATGTGATGAAGTTACATGAAGCCCTACGATCAATAGTTTCTGACCGAGATAGGATTTTTATGAGAAACTTTTGGTCTGAATTCTTCAAACTGCAAGGGACTAAGCTGTCCATGAGCTCAGCATATCATCCCCAAACCGATGGGCAAACTGAGGTAACCAACCGAACCCTTGAGCAATACCTACGGTGCTATGTGCATCAATTTCTGAAGAGGTGGGAAAACTTTCTACCCTGGGCTGAGTACTGGTACAATACTACCTACCATGAATCGACCAAGATGACTCCATTTGAGCTGGTATACGGGCGTAAACCGCCAGCGCTGATCAACTACTCAGAAGGAGGCACGGTCAATGATGAAGTCGGTTGAGAACTCGAGGAGCGAGATTTGATGTTGCGAGAGTTGAAGAAAAACCTAGAAGGCTTGATAAATCGAACCAAAGCCTTTATAGATGGAAAATGACGAGAAGAGAATTACGCGCCAGACGAGTATGTCTACTTGAAGATGCGGCCATTCAGACAACGCACGACAGCACAAAGGGCAGTAACTAAGTTGGGAGTGTGCTACTATGGGCCCTATCAGATTCTGAAGCGCATTGGCCAGGTAGATTATCGCCTAGAGCTGCCGGAGAGTTCGCAAATCCATCCAGTTATTCATGTTTCGCAGCTCAAGAGAAGCCTAGGGGAAGCGCATAAATATTGTGAAGAGTTACCCGCCACCGCGACTGATGGAAGGGTCATCGTACGCCCAAAACGAGCGATTGAGTATCGTAAGGTAAGGAAAGCAGGGCGCTGTCGTTGGGAGGTACTAGTTGATTGGGAAGAACTACCACCTGAAGAAGCCACGTGGGAAGACCTTGATGAGATGCGCGATTAATTCCCAATTTTCATCCTTGAGGACAAGGAATCGCTTGAAGGGGACGGGAATGATGCGGAAGTGGCTAGGCAGCTCAAGAACGCCGCAAGTCGCGCTTACCATGCACACAAAAGGTTAGCGCGAGAGACAGCAGAAATGCGCGCACTTGAGTGTAGTGTGCGCAAGGCAAGCGAAAATGGCCAAGTAACGGGCGTAGACGCGCGCACGCGACAGGCGTGCGAGACGGGTGAACAGGCGCTAACGGGAGAGGGCGTGCGGTATGCGCAGGCAACGGGCCTGACTAGCGAACGAGCAGCGTGCGGTCACCCGGGCGAGGGAGCAACGGCCAGCGAAGGAGCGGAGGGCGCACGAGGCATGCAAGCACGCGCGAGAGGCAAAGCCTCAATCCTAGAGGAGTGCGGAGTGGCGGACGACCACGCGCCTAAGGTCGGCGCAGGAGGAAATGGCGTACGCGGCACGCCGGGCGCCACGCACGCGCGTGATGAGGCGGCAGGTAGGGGAGGTGTGCGCGACACGCCGGATGGACATGCACACGCAGAAAAAGACGGTGCCCTAGTCCTCAAGGACTAGGGCGTGCGAGGAGGTGCGCAAGGGC